GCTTTCTATTGCCGCTGATCTGGACTATAGGCAGTCCCTCGCATACACACTCGTGAGGGCTAATAATTTAGGCCGCGGTTGGGTGACTCTTTCGCCTTTCCATAGTCCCACCCTATGACAATTCATAGTTCCTGTCATGGTAGGCATCCCCGCTAGCCTAAGCGCGGTCTACACATTCTTCCGGTCCGCCTCGCGCCGAGACCTGAAGTCTCTGATCACGAGCTTCACCCTTATATGCAGAAGTATATGCCTAGCCCTTCCTAGGATTGCTTGATTAGTTTCTTTCAGGAGTTTGAGCTCTATTTTAAGCTGTTCTAACCTGTCTTTTATCCTTGCCATATCATCCGCGTCCATCTCTTGAGCTACTGCGGTAGTTTTTCCTTGCGTTTTGGCATCTGGTTCCCGGTTTTCCTTACGGTTTGCTTTCTTTCTTTTGGGCACCCGAGGTTTCGTATCCTTAGGCCGATCCGGCTGGCTGATGATGCCCGCCGCTTTGTCCCTGGGATGCGTGAGCATTCCCCTATCAACGCTATACAGTGGACGCAGATCCATTGCATGGAATTATGTATCGTCTATAGTACGTGGCATTTCTTTGTCAGCTTACTACAGCGCTTGTGATACCAAAGATAGCACCGTTCGCACTGGATACCCTCGGCCACAAACTCTCCACAGCCTCCACACTCGTTCACCTCATTCCGTGCAGACATTGAAAGGTGTAAAAATTTAAAAATTTAACACTGACAAAAATGAATAATTTCAAAACTGGAAAAATGTAACACAGATGTACGCCAAAAGCTGTAAACAAAACTGTTTACGCAAAACGAAATACTACCACGAGCTCTGTAAAACTGAGTGACCTGTGATCGGTCACTGAATTATAAAAAGTGCCCTGGATTAACCCAGGCAGTGTATAATAAGTGAAATATCGGTGGATATTCCACTTTGTTAGTATAAATAGGTTTTAGCAGAGAGCACGTCAAAATTCAAACCGCGCGGGGTACGTTACTCAGTTCGAAGGCTGGCTTCGGTATGCCAAAAACCATTAGCGGCTACTATACCTCAGGTTGGAAGCATGGTGTAGTGACATTATTTTCACTTTTCAACGCCATTCCCATGAATCATGTAAAGGCCCTATTTTGTTTTATTGCCCTCTGTTTTGAGATCGCATATGACCCCGAATATGGTAAAATTTCCGGTGAGTTCTATCGTGCGCTTTGCTGTCTATACACTCTCTCTGTAGATATTTCTGCCTTTCAGAAGAATTGCATATCGAAGTGTTGGAAGCCAAGAAAACTGGCCGACAACACACAAATCTGTATGCTTGATTGCCAAGAGCCCCAACTGAACTGAACTGAATTTTTGTGCTGCAGGTCACATTACACTACTAACGCTCGTACCCTACTTTGTTTTCAATCCCATCTCTCCTTGAGAAACCTCGTGATACGCCTCATCGATAGTATTAGTGAACGCGTGGTTATTCAGCCTGTCCAGGGTGCTAAAATGGGAACTACATGGTAGGAGTGTTGTGGAAGCGTTGGACACGAAAATATTTATCAACTCTGCAGGCCCGACAGAATTAGATGCAGAGAGAACGGTCGCTGAAGGCTGGAGACGTCGTCCTTCTAGCCCATGAGAAGCTAAAACGCAGTAGTTGGCCAGTGGGTACAGTGATTGAAAGCTTCACAGACTCAGGTGGACTAGTAAGAACACTAGGTGCATGACATTGGAAAGGTATGCTTGTTGGAGGGAGATGATCACCAAGTAAGTCCTGGAGACCCGTCATATACCATATAGTTTTACAATTTCCTTTCTAACGTTTACGCCCCAACATCGTTCAGCCCCATCTGTGCGACACCGTGCTTCTGCGTCCCTAACGTATATCCTTCCAATTTCATTTCCGTGA